TTGGAGAAGGCTAAGAGCCAACTCAAAGAGATAGAGCATGACTAAGAATATATAGTCAGATAAATATAAGACAGACATGCAACAAGCGAAATAGGCACACATGAATAAAAGCGAAGAATAATTGACAAGGTCAAATAACAAGTGGAACACATCATGTGAGCTCATACAAACCAGACAATAACAAGAACGAATGGGTACATATAAGTTGTTGCTACGAGAATGACTTGGTCAAATAGATTAACCGAAAGGGCTTAACCAAGTTAGTTGTAAGTGAATTGGAATATATGTGGAGGCACTGTGGTGTGAGCCACTTATAAGTAGTATATGACGTGAGTGTCAACGTAATGTCTGGCAGCAGAAGATGGTGGAAGATGAAGGAAGAGTTAGAACACAATGGAATTTGTATGAAACGCATGAATAATGACAATGGATTGATGTTTTGCAACAGGAACAGTCCAGTTCGATATGATGGACTGATATTTTGCAAATTAACGATTTACGATATGGTTTTCCTATTTTACTGAGTAACTCTGTAATTTTCGTTAAATGCAATCCGGTTGCCCCACCTGTGTTCTCATTCACTACAGCACTACAAATCATCTAGACGTTGATATTGACACAGGCACTCAAATCAAGTATCTTTCACTGCATACGTCAAAGTGTACTAATTTCAAGTTCCGATGTTAGTACCACTACTACAATGCAAGTACATTCAGCTGATAAATCAAGAATAGGCATTCGGGATTCCACTTCATGCCACAATTTGTGTATTTCCAAAAAACTCTTATGTTAGAATGAATATTGAGTGTACATATTCAACCCTAAATATTGAGAAAAACATGATTGAATAAAATCTTTGACAGACATGATTATTCTCAGAAAGATTCCATCTTCCCACAAGCACAGAATAAAAAGGTAACTTTAAGATATAAAAAAAATCAAATCACGCTGAAATCATTAGCTGTAAATTGAATACCTTTTGAAAATGAAATAAATTTGTACTTAAACATTGATTATTTAATAGTTGCTTTCTTGAAAAGTCCAGCAGCTAAAAAAAATACAACACACAGTTATAACTAATCAATTTGTATTTAGTTTTTGCTTCAGAAAATTAATAGTTTATAATATTGACTGACCTTAGATAGACACTGAATGAAAATCAGTAAGCACTCATCTATCAATTTCATCACAGTATGAGACCGCTTTGAATTTTCACATTAACGACCTGACTCGAAATCGGATCCAAGACTTTTATGCCTCTAGGCGAGCACTTAATCGTCGGAATCAATGGGCCAGGATTCAGGGGTTTAAATTTTGAGGTTGTGTAGCTAGAGAAAGGAAAATTTGATCAGCCATTGAGCAGGGACAAACACACACAATCAACCGATTTGTTATTTTTGGTCATCAATCTTGTATGTGGTATAATGTGATCCAGTCTGTGTAAGGGCATATTGATCAAATATCAAGTCTAGTGCTGGCATAATCTTGGTCATTGGTCATGTTGGCGAACAGATCAGATTTTCATTCTCTCGTTAGATTGTGTAACCGTCTTTTAATGATAATGACAAATTTTTAAATGGTTTTTGTTGACTAAAGTCATTCCGTTGTATAAACTACAAAATTCAATCATCTTTACAAACTGTTTATGCGAAAATATTGATAATTGAATCCAATAAATGATTAATTTTTGCTCATAAAATTAACATTCTAATGCGTATTATACTGTTGTACAGTTTCTGACAAGATTATTCATAATACTACTCATTGATAACGTAATAATTTGAACTGTCGGATGTGTAGGGACTTTGTAAAGATTGATTTGTAGCTTCCATCCAAAACTGACTTCTGTCTGAACAGTCACTAAAAAACCATAGAGTGGTCGACCGTTGTTGTGACCCGTTCCCACCAAAGACGGTGCCTAAAATTGTCAGTCGTTACAGAGGATGCATCACTTACGTGATTTTCATCTCTAATTTCCAATTATTTCTTAATTTTTATTCCTAAAGTTTGATTGAATGATTTGAAAAAAAATATAAACATTGATCATTGAACTGTGAATTGTTTAGACAAAATGAATTGAAAATTGAATTTTTTATTGGCTGAATTTGTTAATTTGAAATCTGTGAACCAATAGTTAGTTTCACAATTGAGTGTAAGATCGTTGGAAGCCGAGTTAATGTAAGAGACATGAAAGAAATGTACTCACTAGTGACTAGCTCTTCGTGAGGAAATTCTTGAAGTTCTAGTGAGAAGCCATGACTGGCGGAGTTCAACTTTGTTGAGTGTGAGACAGTCACTCACCGAAGATAAATAAGTGAGGTTGCGCAAAAATCCTACAGTTGATTGTTAAATGCCAGCAGACTCGGTGGTCCGGAGGTTAGGCGTTATATGGTGTTAATTACAAGTTATTGTTAGCCATAACATAAATTGTGTATATTTTTTTATTCAATTTAGCTTGAACCAACGCTAAAACCTGCAGATAATTTCAATGTTGATAAAGACTGTGAACAATTGCATCAAGCTATGGCTGGAATGGGAACTAATGAAAAATCGTTGATTGAAGTGATGGGTCATCGATCTTCTGAACAACGAGTTGTTATAGTACAAAAATATAAATCAATGTATGGTAAAGATTTAACCTCGAAATTCAAATCGGAATTAAGTGGCAGTTTTTATGATTGTATGGAAGCTTTGTGTTATTCCCCGGTTGAACTGGATGCACGTGAACTACGTAGAGCGTTAAAAGGTGCTGGTACAGATGAAGGTGCTTTAATTGAAATTTTATGTTCTAGAACAAATGCACAAATTAAACAGATTAGAGAAACTTATGCTAAAAGTAAGTGATTCAATGGATAATATCATATTCCTTTTTTATTTCTTGATAAAATTCGTTATTGTTGAATATAATATCATTGTTTATCTGATCTACCAATGTGTTACAAAAATGAAAGTATCATTGTTTGACCACCATTAGAAACCTAAAAGCATTGGTCGATCGTTTCGTCCTGGTATGGGACTCATCAGCAGTGCGCATCTACGACTCCTTCAACTCGTACGATTCGAACCCAAAACCTTCAGTCTTACGTGGGAACGCCTAACCTCTGGACCACTGGACCGGCATCCGGCGGCGTTAATGTGTAACTCTGATCAATCTACAGATTTTGTGCGACCTCACCCATTTGTATTTGGTAGTTACTGCCTTTATTCGACAGAGTTGAACTCCACTGTTCACGTCTTCTCACTAGAACTCCGAGAATCTCCTCACAAAGATAGTCGTTACTAGTGAACACATTTTACGATTTTTCAATCAGAGTTATGGAGATTAGTGTTTGTTGCATATTGAAATCATCAATCAATCATTGTTAGACCACCATTAGTAAACTGGAAGCACTGGACAGCCAGAGGTTAGGCGTTCGCGCCTACGACCGATGGTCCTGGGTTCAACTCCTGCAAGGTGCAGGAGTCGTGAATGCGTACTGCTGGTGAGTCCCATGCCAGGACGAAACCGCCGTCTTTCAGTGCTTCCAGGTTTCTAATGGTGGTCTAACAATGATTGATTGATGATTTCAGCGTTCAACAAACACTAATCTCCATAACTCTGATTGAAAAAGATAGATTTTCTTAATGAATAAATTAACTTCCCTACCTTAGATCATATTACTTTATGGATTACAATAAGGAACATCAAGATGATTGGTTTATTTTCTACACAGCATGAAAGCTTAGAATATATCGCTTTCATTGTGATAAATATTCCTATACATATTATCTACAGTGTGTTTGGAAGTTGACTTTTGTCACTATGGAATACTGTACCGATGTATTTTAGTGGTAAGTAGTATGTGATTCCATATGAGCACATCCATAATTTAACTGGTGATTGGATTTAGGAGCTTCAAACCTTAGAATGAAAGTATTACTTTCAAATTACAGAGTTGAGATTAAATGGTTCACATAATACTCAACTAAATCTTCATTATAGAGTTGATTGCTGAAACAAATCTGTAACGCACCTATTGATCGAATAAAGAAAAGATGTCTACAACCTGATAGAAATCAAATCATCCTAGAAGCCACTTATCCTGACTGCTTAATGCAACAGTCGAAGACGTTACTAATGAGTTATTCATATTTTGAATAATTCATTGTAATACTGGGTTAGTTTTATAAATCGTTCATCAAAGAGAAGTGATCAGTTATATTCTATCTATTTTCTAGTGTTGAGAATGGTAACCATAACTGTTTATATCACTGACTGAATCTCACACCACACTGTAACTGGTATATGACAATTGGTTATGATCGATGGTTATCTGGAATCATTATGAACGGAAGTTTATGAATGTTGATGGTCAAATGTCATGATCTAAATTACATATAAGTTAAATACTACTGACAGTGTATATCGATTATTAAAACTTATTTATGAATCAAACTATCCGAAATGTATTCTCAAATCAAAGTCACTTTGATCGATACATGGTTTCAAGAATGTGTAACTTAACAATCTTCACAACCCCGTAATGCAAATTACCTGTGCTCACTAGTGACTAGCTTCGTGAGGAATCTCCTCCGAGTTCTAGTGGTAAGACGTGACCAGTGAAGTTCGACCTGTTCGGGTGTAAGCAGTGTCTACCGAAGACTGTGTATGAGGTTGCGCAACTCCGTGAATTGATCAAGTTAGACATTAACACCGTTGGATACCGGCTCAGTGGTCTAACGGTTAGGGCGTTCGCGCACAATACCGAAGGTCCTGGTTTCGAACCCTGCGGGGTGCAGGAGTTGTGGATGCGCACTGCTGAGGAGTCCCATACCAGGACGAGACGGACGTCTAGTGCTTCCAGGTTTCTAATGGTGGTCTAACATTGATCGATACATGGTTTCAAAAATGTGTCATTGATAAATGTCTATGAAAGTGTTATGTTCATCACTAGGTACTCTTGAAGCTATTACGAGTTCACCTTAGTGGATAAACGCGAACGAGACAATGAACCAGAGTCCAGCTAGGCTAGCTTGAATACGAAACTGTAAAACAGAAGTCTTGGTAAGCGTAGAAAGTATATTCTATAACACCCAGCAATCAAAATACAATCAAGCACACAACTCTTGTTTGTTTATACATCATAGAAACGTCCTTGGGACAGTTACGAAAATAGCTCACTAAAATACACAGCAGCCAATCACAGCCATGGATTTCCCTGGTGGGAAATGAAATCTCAAGGTCAATTGATCAGCCCATGCTGGCAAACGTAAAATCCAAAACTGGGGCATTATTTATCAAGCGAGTTCTGGCGAACTAACATCCCCAACAGAAAGTTCTTTAAAGTTCTCCTTGTGCATGAAATAAGTAATTAGATAATGAAATAACCAATGAATATCATCAAAAAACAATTTTTTGTTTGAATTAAAACACAACTAATCGTTAATTGTTTAAATTTTTTATTTCTTCACTAGTATTCCCTAATCGTGATTTAGAGGCTGATGTGAAAAGTGACACATCACGTCATTTCAAACGTGTCTGTGTTGCTCTTTTACAAGCCAATAGAGATGAATCATTGAAAGTCGATATGGAACTTGTTCGAAAAGATGCTGAAAATTTATATAGAGCAGGTGAACAAAAATTAGGAACAGATGAATCAAGGTAAGTTGATTTTTGATTAGACGAAAAGTTCACAAATCAGTAACTGTGTATTTGTGTAAAAGTATGCAGCTTGAATTGTATAGTCAACACTTTCAGTGCCTTCTGTATTCTCCGCCAATAATTCAGCTTAGTAATCTTACATGCCGGGAAGGTCCAGGCAAATCACTTGCCTGTACGAGTATATCATCTCTAGGTCAAATGGTGGGTGAGGAACGAACGATAAACAAGACATGCTCTTGGAGAAAGTCAATTATATCCTTCATCCTTCATATCGTTGAATAGATTAGAAGCATATAAATGTATAGATATGATATGTGTACCTAATGGTTTGATCCTGCAAATAACAGCTTCCTAATCATTCTTTAGTCTTCTCATTCAGATAGCTGGTTATGTGTACATATAGGAATCTTAAGGTAGAAATATTTTCATTACATAAAGTGATAATCGTGAATTTAAATGAAAGCTGATGAGTTTGAGGGATGTTAAGACATTTCTTAATGTCTCTTATTTGTGCTACACAAAGAATATTTAGCCAAAATACTTGTATGGAAATGACTGTCAACATGTTTACAGAAATGTGAAATATCTTTCCAGAAAACAAACTACTTGTTACATGGAAGGAACCCTAAGAATAAGTTCTTTTCAAGCAGAGTTGGATGGTGACCAGGAGTGGAATCTAGGATGCGTGTCTCATATTCTCTGGGACTCATCGGCAGGTGACTCGAACTCAGTACCTTCGTTTCGAACGCTAACATGTTATCCGCTTAGCTAGTGGGGTTGAGTAGCCATTGGTTTGTGCAACAGGGTGAATCGAAACTCGTTTGTAATGGTTGTATGAATCTTTTCGCTGATGTTATGGACTCTAGTTAATCAGTCTGTTTTGGTATATGTGCATCCAGTTCAGACTGACTCGATATTGCTATTAAGTCGCAGGTATTTTAAGCAGAATTCGATAGTATTCCATACCAGAAAACTTATAGGATTCATATCCGATATCTTTCTTTTTCTGAAAGCCTAAGTTAACGTAATGTTCGGTGATCAGTCATCTGTTACTGAGGCCACCATTTATAATGATATACTAATTTACGTGTCCAAAGTCTTATAATATATGGTATAGATATCATTTTGACACAACAACTGGAACAGTTTTTTCAGGTTGAACAGATTTAACACAAAGAGTATAACGAAAACATCCTTTATTTCCTAAACATTATTTTTGACGAAAAGTCCACCAGTTCCATTCCAGTACATATTTACGCTCGATTTTATTAGTAAATGATTAAATATCCCTGCTTTTGTAACGGTACTTGCACCATGTGGGAACCTACAGTTGAGTTGTTTTGTAAACTAATCTAAAGTTTCCGCAGTTCATAAAATCGATTCGGTTAGGCATAGGCCACCCACCAGTTTCCTCCAACCAACTCTGTCCTGGGCTTCTCTCTCCAGTTCTGTTCAATTTTTTTTCATTCTTCCCATATCTTCCTCTATTTCTCGGCGTAATGTGTTCTTTAGTCTTCCACTTTTCCTCTTACCTTGAGGGTTCCATGTGAGGGCTTGTCTTGTGACGCAGTTAGGTGCTTTTTATAGTGTGTGTCCTATCCACTTCCACCGCTTCTTCCTGATTTACTCCTCCACTGGAATCTGGTTTGTTCTCTTCCACAGTAGGTTGTTGCTGATGGTGTCTGGCCAACAGATCTGAAGTATTTTGCATAGACAGCTGTTAATAAATAATTTTATCTTCTGGATGATGGCTTTGGTAGTTCTCCAATTTTCCGCTCCATACAGTAGAACTGTCTTGACATTTGTATTGAAAATCCTGATTTTGGTGTTGGTTGATAGTTGTTTGGAGTTCCAGATGTTGTTCAATTGTAAAAATGCAGCCCTTACTTTACCGATCCGCGCCCTCACATCTGCATCGAGTCCACCTTGCACGTCAATGATGCTGCCCAGATATGTAAAGGTCGAAGTGTAAGTTTTATATGAATGTCAAACCACTAGATGCTTATAAGTGTGAAGTCAGAAGATTCAATCCAACCCCATAAATTCCATTTAATATCGAAATATCAATTCATATAGTCGGTAACAACAAATGATTTAACCTGTATAATAACATTGTCGCATGATAAGCGAATTCCTTGGATAAGAGAGATAGGTGGTGGTGATGGTGGTGACTTAGATGCAATAAGTATGTTAGGTTCGTCACTAGGTATGCTTGAAACAATTACGGGTTCACCTTAGTCGATAAACGCGACCGAGACAATGAACCAGAGTTCAGGTAGGCTACCCTAATCTGCTGACTAATAAAAGTCTTGATATAGCGTAGAAAGTATATTCTACAAACACCCGGACAGCACACAATGCAATCAAGCACACAAATCTCGTTTATTTATACATCATCACACTAAAATACACAGCAGCCAATCACAGCTATGGATTTTCCTTGTGGGAAATGAAATCTCAAGATCAACCGATCAACCCTTGCTGACAAACGTGAAATCCAAAATTAGGGCATTTATCAAGCGAGTTCTGGGGATCTAACGTCTCCGACAAAGTAGTAGACTACAAAATCGACTGAGGCGTTATGTTTCTAATTTACATTTCAAATAGCTTCAAAAGTGGAATACACCTTACTGAATGGTCGTCTTAAAATTCCGTCCATTAATTTACTCTGACATTTAATCTCATCCTATTTTCTCTATTAAAATGTTGACCGAAAGTTTATCAATTATTAACTTGAGTGAAATCATTCAAATTTATTTTTTTTTCTTATCTTCACATCATTACAGGTTTGTTCAAGTATTGATTTCACGATCGTTTGCACATTTACGTTTATTATTTGAAGAATATTCAACTATTGGTAAAAAGAATATTGAAGATACATTAAAAGCTGAAATGCATGGTGATACACTACAAGCATTTCTGTCTATTGGTTAGTATTGTGCATGTGTTTTTTACTTTTGAACGTATTTAATGGCTAAATGATATGAATTAATTAACTTGTTCTATTGTTAATCATAGCCTGTAAGTTTGTTTTAAACAATAATTAATGATAGCTTATTTTCAATATTAAAACAGTCAATCAATCAGTCATTGTTTGACCACCAGTAGACACCTAAAAGCTCTAGTCGATCGTTTTGTCCTGCTATGGGACTCAACAGCAGTGCGCATCCACGACTCCTGCATCTGGAATGATTCGAACCAGGGACCCTCGGTCTTGCGCGCGAGCGTCTAACCTCTGGACCACTGGGCCGGTATCCAGCGGCGTTAATGTGTAACTCTTATCAATCTACAGATTTTGTGTGACCTCACCCATTTGTATCTGATAGTTACTGTCTATACTCGACAAGGTTGAACTCCACTGGCCACGTCTTCTCACTAGAACTCCGAGAATCTCCTCACGAAAATAGTTGCCACTAGTGAACACATTTTACAATCTTTCAATTAGAGTTATGAAGATTAGTGTTTCTAGAAATCGTCAAGTTCTTTCAAGTTTCTAATGATGGTCTAACAATCATTGATTGATGATTTCAACGTGCAGAAAACACTAATCTCCACAACTCTAATTGAAAAATTATTTTCAATAAGCAGATTTTCAATTAATTGTAGAATTTATTTCGAACACCGCAGACAAACATTGATCATAAATGTGTATTACGTGGAACAATTTCAATGTTTAAATTTAGTCAAACTGAACTTGGACAAAATGTTATTATTCGTATTCTGTGTAGAACATATTTATTAAGCCTTCATTAAAATCATGAGATAGTTTATTTACTGAAGAACAAAAATTTGATATTCGAAATTCTGCATTTACGAAAGTTTACTACTCAAAGTTTACAATTTAAAGCGTTCTTCACTTTCACTGTCAACATGCTTTTCTTTTTATTTCTAACCGGCAATACAATACCAAGCTTAAAAAAGTGTTGTTTGTAAAATCTATCTTGTGTAACGTTTATTGCAAATAAAGAACGAATAAATATGATAGCAATAGAGCATGAATTCATTTATTTCATGGATTCTCCTTTGAACTGCCAACAACCTAAAACCATAAAAATGAAACAAGTGTACATACTTTATAACGGAAATATCAAGAGTAACTTGAGTCAAAATGCGGAGATCGACTATTATTAAGAAGTGATTAGACGAAAGAATTGAAATTGCTTAAACGTTCAATAAACTAATATTCTAGAAGCGCTTAGAAAGTGAATGTTCAATAATGATAAAATAGGTCATTTTTTTGAGGGATTTTCTGATTCACACTTGATGAAAATAATTGTACATTTGAGGTAGAATTGTTGTACTCACATTTTGATTCGTATCGTTACTTGGTCAAAACAAATTTATTGAAGAATCTATTATGTTATTAAACAAAGAGGTTTCTTGATGTAATTTGTTAAAGTCACATTCACTATTCAAGGGATCAATAAAACACAAGGTTCTGGGATGCGTTTATTACCAATGCAAATTCGTTCCTGTTATTATATTAAATTCGCTGGTCATATAAGTTTCATTCAGTAATACTTTAGAAAAGATATATTTAGGGAACATGTTCGTAAACAGCATCCACTGCTGTCTTATGGTGTCTTTATTACAAATCATACAAATCCCAATGAGTCACAAAACTCTGGTCAAAGGTTGAGATTTTCTGTTAGACTAACTGTTATCCTACTTAGAAATAATAATTTTAAAAATGCCAACCTGTAAAATCGTGAAGAGTGATGCTCACTTATTTCCGTGGATCTAAAATAAGATTAATTTTTTATGTTCGAGAACTGCTTCGTAATAACTTAGATTCTTTGGTACGTAGTATCAATTCGTAAATGGTAATTTATATGCATGGACATTAATAAAATGTTCTTTTATTTAAATAGGGATGTTTATTATGCTTTGACAAAAGATCACTAAGACTAAAATTTCAGTCTATTAATTTAGAAACCTTCTTTCTGTTCTTTTTCTACATTTCAGTTTCTTGTATTAAAAATAAACCGAAATATTTTGCTGAAAAATTACACAAGTCAATGAAAGGACTTGGAACTGATAACCGGACACTAATTCGTATTATTGTATCACGTTGTGAGGTTGATTTAGGTATAATCAAGAAAGAATTTTTAAGTTTGACTGGGAAAACATTAGAGTCTTACATACATGTGAGTAGTAAATGTTTTATGCAGGGTTATTTTTGTGTTTAGGCAGTTAGTTTTTCTAAATTTAGATTTCATCTACTTAATAATTTTATAGTAGTTTAGTGAGAAGGCATTTTTTTTCAAAGCCAAGAATTCAAACATGAGCAATGTAGCTGTCTAAAAAACTGTTAGCAATTTACCCGAAATTTTAAAAGGTTCACTGATGACCAAAAATATGTTCTTAATGCTGAATTAGTTGGAATTATGAATAACAAGATACTGTTAAATAACTGCTTACTCTAATTTGAAATCCAGCAACAGTATATATCCATAATCTTATTAAGTAATAAAAAAAAACTTCCGAGTCTCACGACGAGCATATTTCTAAATTTAATTAAGCACTGCTTTCTGGAATAAGCAATTACACAAAACCATAAACTATGGAAAGTATTCAATTCATGTATTCGTAGAAATGTGTTATATATGATAAGTTACGGTCTTGTACTCAACTTAAAGAATTATGTAAGTGATTGGTTTACATAGTGGAGGTATGTTTTATCATTTATCTAACTGTTTGATATTTCGAAGGTAGGTTTGCGAGAGTAAACTACACCTGAAGCCCTTCTGGTCATTTGCGGGACCATATCCCCTCAAAAACACATCCACAAAGCCATATGGGTTTCACCGGAAGCAAACCGACCACATCGGTATTAATAAACAGTTTGGAAAGACCATGGAGGACGTGAGAATCAAGAGAAGAGCTAACATAGCTTACGATCGTCACCCAGTGGCGGCCAAGATAAAGCTGAAACTAAAGAAGCAGTGGACAACTGGTGAGCAGTATCACACATGTTTAATTCGGCCTTTCTGCCGGATACTGACAAACTTCAAGAATTTAAGATAGCTCTCAGAAATAAGTCCCCGATCTGTCACGATCTACTCGATGAAGAGAGAACTGTCATGAAGAACAACTAGAAAGGGATCAATGACGCAATAGCTTCTGCATGTCGTGAGGTTCCGGGCCACTAGGAGCACCACCACAATGAATGGATATCTGTTGGTACTCTGGATAAGATTCAAGAAAGGAGGGACAAAAAGGTATCAATCAATATAAGTCGAACAAGAGCAGAGAAAGCTAAGGCATAAGTTGACAAACGTAAACATATGAGAGATCTAGCAACGATAGCACAAAAAGCTGTAAGAGAAGGAAATATGAGACGACTGTATGATAAAACGAGGAACCTTGTTGGAAAACATGGTGGACCAGAATAACCAGTGAAAAGCAAGGGAGTCAGAGAAATCATTGATATTGACGAATAGCAGAACAGGTGAGCAGAGTAATTTGAAGAACTCTTGAATAGACCAGTCCGGCTGAATCCACCCAACACTGAAGTAACCTACGGACCTCCCAATTAATGTTAGCCCACTAACAATTGAAGAGATCAGTATGGTCATCGGACAAATCAAGATTGGCAAAGCAGCATGACCAGACAACATTTCAGTGGTGGTACTAAAGGCAGACATAGCAGTAACTGCAAAGATATTCCGCTCTTTGTTTAGCAAGAACAAGAACCAACTAACTGGAAAGAAAGACAGCTTATCAAATGTGAAAAGTACAGAAGCATTATCCTTCTATCAATACCATGAAACTTAATTAACAGAGTGTTGTTATACAAAATGAAAGTTACAGTAGACGCCCAACCTCGAGATCAACATGCTGGATTCTGTAAGTAACACTGTGGAAGAATCAGTTGAATGGTATTCATCACCCTGTATCAACTTCATTGACTACGAGAAAGTACTTGACAGCGTGGACAAGATGCCACAATAGTGTGCCGGAGAAGAAAGTTAACATCGTACGTAGTTGTTTCAACGGATCAAACTGCAACACCGTGAATGGAGAACAGATCACAGACTCCTTCCGAGTGAAAACCGGTTTCAAACAAGGTTGAATAATCTCATCCTTTCTCGTTCTCCTGGTGACTGACTGAATCAGAAAGACAATAAGATCTCAGAGAAATTAAGGCATATAATGGATATTTGGATGTAACTGAACGATCTGGACCTCATAGATCATTTAGCCCTGATACACCACACACGAACAAATACAGATAAGGACAGCAGCTGTAGCAGCAGCGGGTTTTGGGCTCACTCAAGAGAAAGAGCAAGATACTTAGATGCTACACAGCATGCGCCAACTAAATCACAGTTGATGGAGAAGCCTCGGAGGATGTGGAAACATTTACATACCTAAACAGCATCACTGATATATAAGGTGGATCTGATTCAGATGAGAAGGCGAGGATTGGAAAAGCAAAGGCAGTATTTCTACTACCGGAAAACATCTGGAATTCAGATTACTATCAACCAACACTAAAGTCACAATTCTCAACACAAATATCGAAAACGTTCAACTGTATGTGGCGGAAACTTGTAGAACCATGAAAGCCATCATCTAGAAGATATAAGTATTCACTAACATTTGTCAACACAAGACACTTCGGATCCGTTGACCAGACACCATCAGCAACAACCTACTGTGTGAGAGAACAAACCAGATTCCAGTGGAGAAAGAAATCAGCAAGAAGTAGTGGAAGTGGATAGAACACGCACTGAGGAAAGCATCCAAGTACGCTACCAGACAAGCCCTCACTTGCAATTCTCAAGGTGAAAGGAAAAGAGGAAGGCCGAGAAACTTAGAAAAATATCAGGAAAATCAACAAAAATTTAACAGAACTTGGAAGGGAAGCCCAGGGCAGAGTAGGTTTGAGAATAATGGTCGACAGACTATGATCCATTGTGGGTGACAGCCGTAAGTTTGCGAGAGTATGAACTCATGTGGCATGACCTAACACACCAAATAAGATAGGAGGATTATTGTCAATGTTAGGTTGAAAACACTATTTTAGACATTCGAAGCAATCCGAAATTTTTTCTTAGTACGGAAATAGTAACTAATAATTTTATTTCTTTTTATTTTCAGGATGACACAAGTGGTGATTTTCGTTTAATACTATTAGCTTTGGTTGGATCATGAATATAAGTAATCTTTGTTGCACAATGAAGCAATCTTTTCCTTTTACTCCTGACAAACAGAAGGCTGTGATTAATTTTTTTCAAACATATAAAACGTATTAATCTGTGATCTAAAACAATAAATCAATGGAAATTTGCTTTTTCAAAAATTGTATTTTAATATCATGACAAGTTCGTAAAAATGTGCTAAATTATATTGACTACTTGTATTTTGTTAGTAGTATATATTTATATTAAATAATTTATAGCCTTAAAATTTATTTCACAGTTTTAAAATCATTGTTGTCAATAAAATGAAAGTGTAAAAAAAAATAGATTTTTTAATTACCCATTTTCTGCTCTTTTCTTCTAAAACCTATCGATTCATATGTGTCTGGATGTGATTTTAGCAAGAAAGAAGAGATGAGTTCAAGATAGTTCGCGAGGAATATCCATCACTCATATAGTCTGTCAGAGGAAAGCACTTTTCTTTCACCAATCATTATACCACACCGTCAATTCAAGCACTAAAGAGATATCATAGAGATCATATTTAAATACTTATAAACCTTAGTAGCCATAACTGTCGAGTAAATATGGCACATTCCAAACCTAACTATTATTTAATTGCTGAACAGAGATGGATACTGACTGACAGTAGAATCTAGGCTACACTTATTGTACTAACAAGAGACTGATCAATTGAAGTCTTGCAAATCAGTACATATGAATCTCTGTCTGATTTGTTGTTCCATGTTACTAGGTTACATTCATAATTTCTTTGAGGGTTCAAACCCTTTCTAAGCATTTTAATAAAATTAAGTGCATTATGATACAACAGCACAAATCAGGCCATTTTTTGAAAATGTGGCTGTTTATTCAAAGTATGATTCCTAGTCACAGTTGGATAATACTGATGATATCTGTTTTTCTGTAATAATCTTTGGTGGGATTTCTGTCTAGAGAATAGGATATTTGTTACGATTGCACGTCAACATGCTAGTTTGATATGCTTGAATTATTACGAGTTTACCTTCGTCAGTAAACGAGAGCGAGGATCGAGGATCAGTCGACACCACATGCTACTCTAATCCGATTGTCCCAACCCCCATAGTGAATAAAAAGAATAAGACTTGATATGAAGTAATACCTGTATTCTACAAACATTCAGAAAGTATGAGGTCCGAGTCCTGAAGAGAGCCAGGATCCCGGACTGAGGATCCGGGTCCTGGTCATAAAACGTTACAGATAATGCGTATTCATACAGTTAGGTCGAATAGGAAACAAACATTGAAGTCTGTGACACTGACAGTTAGGACGACCAATCGGGAAAGACATTTGAAGTGACATTGATAGTTAGGATGACCATATTATTGACCAGTAGGAACTGACCGATAGAATTAGACTTACAAAAATAATTCTCTTACGATATTTGATGGATATCCTAACATTACTAGAAATGATAATCACATGTTTGTTGTTTGATCAATATTTGTCCTAGATATATCCTGTAGATCTCAACATGTTAAAAAAACATGCAGATAAGATTGCCCCACTTCTTTTCACTGTTTAGTAATTGTACAGTAAGTATTCTGTATTTTTGGCCACTTATTTAAATTTCACTTAAGGGGGGTGACTGCTTCATATAAAGGCATAATTTTTACTAGAGAATCTATTTAAATCATCTGAATTTACTCACTGTTTTCGCCATTAAAATATCAGTGTAACGTATTCGAACAGACCGGTCGATAAGCACAACCTGTCATGAAAGTTAGGACTTGAAATGAATGTTTCAGGAAAATCTACGGCTATACACTATACTCACCTGTTTCTACGAATAGATAAGTTATATACATTTTGCATTCGCACCTGAATATAATGTGCGATTAATCGGCGTTATCCATGTGTTAAAACAAACGAAAAGAAATAACTTGTTGAAGTATTTTGATATTAAGAAACAAGCAGCACAGATATTTTAAAATGCGACAGACAATTTTGAATTTCAACTACAAAATAACTAACTAACTAAAGGTAAAAGATTAAATTTATAACAAACCTGAATTTGACTGCAATCATATAACAATACTAGTTGAAAAGCTCCAACAGTTTTATTGAACATTGATATGACATGAAATCAGTGTCCTCGGGAAATGAAACTTTTGAAAGTGCAAGAAATCCACTAGAATCGCTTTATCCAACTGATTATTACTCTGGAGATGAATAAAAAAAAGCCCAAATACACGCATAATTAGCCAATAAAGGATATTTAACCTTGTCGACATAATAATATCAACATGAAATTATGCATGCTTCGCCCCTATTTCTCTACGTTCACATGAATGCATGTAACACCTGGAGCAAATTAAATTATCAAGTTTGTTTTGATAATATGTATGGAACACGTTTAAATTAGTTACATTAAAAATAAACAAATAAAAAGCCTGTGAAATATGGAAAAAACTAACAAGTTCGGAAATGATGGTTGTTGAACAATGAATAACCAGTACTGAACTTAAAAGAAAAATAGTTTGTGAACTAATTACTGACTAAGGTATGTGTTTTGTAGTGATAATCACAAATGAAACTTCCCAATTGGCTGTTAAATTTGTTTCAATTAAATGAATAGGTTGCAGTTGTTGGGGAACGTTAAATCCCCAGAACTCACTTGATAAAGATCCTAATTTTGGATGTTATGTTTTAGCGTATGGGCTCATCAGTTGACCTTGAGATTACATTTCTCACCCGGAAATTCCTTGACTGTCATTGATTGATGTATTATTTTAGTACTCTATTTTAGTGGCTCTCCCAAGGACGTTTCTATGATGTATAAATAAATGCAATTTGTGTGCTTGAAGGCCTTATATTTTCTGGTTGCTTGCAGAACACAGTTTCTACGTCTTGTCAAGAATTCTCCTCTACTTAGTGGGGAGCTTAGGATGCTCGGATTAGAGTAGCCTATCGTTGTACTTGATCATTTGTCTTCGCTCTCGCTTTCTGACTAATGTGAACTCGTAATAGCAATCAAGCATATCAATTGACGAGCATAACAGTAGTAAACACCATTTCTTTGCCTAAAAATAAGTCTATTATTTTAGGTAAGCCATATAGAACTTGTTAGGTCAGAAGACCACATGCTGTTAAACTATTCAACTGTTGTGTTTAGACAATTAGTCTGTGCTCTTGTTCGAATAAAATTATAATCATACTTCAATGACGTGAATATCTAAAGCTCTTCAAAAAAATAAAACATTGATTATAACATTCCATTAACTACTCATTCACTGTATTTATTTATGCGGGTTTTCTTCGAATCTGTTTCAATTAGAGTGGTCGGACTATCACCACCAGTGATCAATTTCGTTCGGCATTTGTGTATAACTGTATTTATTAATATCGGGCAAAAATCGATCAAATCCTATAAGAATTAGAACAACCCGTGTAAGCGAACAATATTAATGTTTTCAATTAGATCGTCATTAGGCTTTACTCTCTAATGTACATCAATGTTTATATGAAAATGTTAAATCAATCACGGCAGTTTATGAGTTACTAATTACAATGAAATGAAATACATCAAGTCACTACTACACATAACAGGCAAAAGTACTAGTTGATAATAGTAGGGAGGCAGATGTGACAGCCCTATCCCTTCCATAGCCGGATACACAACTTAACCAACGTTTTTAAAAAAATTTTTGGATTTAATTATTATTTTTGTTATGATAAGCATTATTTTCACATCCTGTAGTTAGTTGTTTGTAATTGTCTACCTCTTCCCGTTTATATTCTTCACTATCTAATTACATAATGGCTTTAATGTTTTGTAAGTATATTTATCCACGTTTGACCTACTAATTCCAATGTTTTTAACTATTGATAAAAACTTCTGTTATTGTATTTTATTATTCCTACTATCTTTAGTACACCTGCGTCTTCCTACTATCAACTTGTACTTGTTGTTCGCTTTGATGTGTTTTCCTAATTTTCATAATGGGAATGAATCTTTAATATTCCACTCAGAATTATAGTATGAAGTTGTAAATGGTAAGTTATTAATCGAAACAAATAACCTGAACGATAAAAAAACTAGTATAGACATGAAACACGAAGAAGTCTTAAGAAAGGATACACACAGTGGTAGAGGAAATAGAAAAAAAGGGTACAATTAAGTGACAAATGATTTCTTCCCTATTCAATTCACGGTAAATGTCGAAGACATACAACTATGCACCAGTATAATGATTATTATTGATTTGTGAATAGTATAGCAAAAAACCTAACTGTGATGTTCTGCTTTACACTAGTTATTATTCTGTCTATCAGTATGTCATAAATAATTTAACGATTTACGATCAGCTTTGATTTGAAATTAATATATAGATAGATTTTTCAACAAGATGTAGCATAAATTACGAACTAGAATATAATAAGTCTATTTTATATTGTCATTTGTCTTTAAAATAAGTTTAGGTTAGGCGTTCTTGCATATGACCGAAGGTCCCGGGGTTCGAATCCTGCGAGGTGCAGCGGTCGTGGATGCGCACTGCCGACGAGTCCCATTCTAAGACGGAACGGCCGTCCAGTGCTTCCATGTTTCTAATGGTGGTCTAATAATGATTGATTGACGATTTCAAATGTGTGAAAACACAAATCTCCAAAGCTCTAACTGATTTATATGTGGAAGTTTTTTGCTAACAATTAACGTGAAAGCGGGGAAATACACCGAATTACCACAGAAAATCAAGTTACACATATATTGAAGAATTAATTTCACACAGAATTCTTACGAAGAATATTATCTTCAATAAACAAAATATCATCTTGATAATAAGACAAACATTGCACTAAGTAAACATCATTATTAAATTAAAATGGAAGTAATGTTGAACAAAAAGTCAATTTTCTATGTGATTTAAACTCCGATCGATGAAGCCATTTCTACGCTTACCAACGAATATCTCACTTCCTATACGAATTTAAGGGTGCACTTATTCGACTATGCTCGGTATATTATATATCATCATAAGACTGATACTTTCAGTGACTAAGTAAGTCAAATAATAGAATCCTTCAACAAGTACTAATCAGTAGATTTTAATAACTTTATAGCTAACTATACTTATCATAGTTCAGTCTGTCTGTGGTGTGAGCTACTTATAAGTAGTATATGACGTGAGTGTCAGCGTAATGTCTGGCAGCAGAA